GAGCCCGATGTTCCTCTGCAAGCTGAGGAATGAGGACAACCGACCGGTCTCACCTGATAACACGTCCAAAGTACACGAGACTAAAGCTCGTCATGCTCGTTTCTAAGGACCATTCTGGCTGTCCATCTTTCAAGACAAATGTGTCCACTGATCTGGCAATCCGTGGTGTGCTTAGTGCTTTTCACTCACGCTACAATTCGAGTGCATCCGTTTTCCTGCAGTCTTCCTTCCTGTCCTGCATGCATAGGAGGGGACTAAAATGACCATGGCTTGGGCCAGGTGCACCTTCTTCCCCAAGGGACAATTTTTGCATATTTGTTCTACACAACACATATTTTGATATCTCGACTGCGGCTTCCATGGGTGTGGATGGTGGATCCAAGTAAAATAAAATGCTTGATAACTCCGATATTTTCACTGATTATCATAATATGGCTGATGGCCCCAGTGGTGAGGACTTTTGTTTTTTCTACGTTGAGGTATAATCCACACTGAAGGCTGGACTCTTTGATCTTCACCAGCAAATGCTTCAAGGCATCCTCCATTTTGGTAAGAAAGGTACTACCTGCCTGCCTATCACAGTCCCCTTCTCATCCGCATGCCCCATTCTTCACGGACTCCCGCTTCTCAGATCAGCTGCTCAGCACGCAGTTTGCCCACAGTAGGATGAAAACAATGCTGAATAGCATCACATACCCAATCACAATGTAGATTTTTATGGTCTCAATTTTTCTTTTAACAGCTGGCTTGTGTTCATAGAGGATTCATGTAAGTTTTACACACTGAATTTGGCTGATTTAGTTCTTCGTCTCTTTAAATCTGTAGGTCTCCCTTTTCTCTATTTTTTCTCAGATGAATTTATGAATAAAACTGGGGAGGTGAAAGCATTCCCCGAGCTCTGAAGTTGGCAGTTTCCATCTCCCCAGGGTTCGTTAAAGGCCCCTCTACTCCTGGAATTCCTTAAACAGATGGTTCCAATCAGATGCACGCTGTTTCGGGCTGGATGTGCGTTCCCATTGTGTCCTATCAGAAGGCAAGTACCACCTGACTGTGTGGCTTTTCGTGATGTTAAGAGTGCAAGTCAGATGTATCCATCACACTGACGGAACAGACATAACACAGGGACACAAGGCAGGCAGCAGCTACTTTCAGATTCTGCACATTCAATCAGTCATAGCAGGGCACCTGGGGAGGATGTGTATCCTGATGTGGTGCTGATTTCACCTCCTTGCCTTCTCACCTCCTGAACTCCAGGTAAACAGAAAATACCCAAGAGATCAAGGGCAAAGTGGAAACTTAGGTGAGCCACCTCATATAACCCCCAGCTATGTGTCCATGAGTCTAGAAGTGGAAAGAGACAGCCCACTGCCCAGGGCCAGCTAGAATACTGGGAGGGCATTCAGTGGATAGATCTAAATAGCCCAGTGAGGCTTTGCTCACTACTGCATCCACAGCCCAAGGCAAGCTGGTAGGTGCTTGGGGCCAGGTCCAACCAGATTCATTGGTAAAACACAAGGATATACATCGGGTCTAAAGAAGATCCGGAGTCTCATAAATCATATACAAGCTATGGAGAATAGTATGTGAAAGTGCTCAGCACACAAAGGACCAGGGAAATGTCAACTTGCAAAGGAAACCAACAAACAACAAAAAACTAAGCGATGCCAACCTCAAGACAGATGAGATCTGGACTTGGGTGACACGGACTATAAAGCAGTTGTGACACAGATGTGCAAGCACACCGTCTCACACACTCTTGAAGCCCGTGGAAAACGTCACAGGAAAGAAGGAAGACCAAACCGTCAGTTAAGGGACATTTCAAAACTGAAAAATACAGCACACAGAAATCCACAGTGAAGCTCACCAGACACTCAAAGGACATCTGAAGATGACAGAGGATAGAAGCAGAAATCCTCCAATCTGGACAACCCAACGAAAGAAGACCAACCGAAAAATAAGAGCAGGCTTCAAGGGCCCGGGAGACAATAATAAAGGCTCTAATGTTAATGCGATCAGAGTCCCAGAAGCAAAGGAGAAATGTTTTTAAAAGTTGAAATGTCCTAAGTGTAGCAAAAGACTTAAAAAACAACAAGGAAAACGAAACCACAAGTATGAATTCAAGAAACAGAGAGAGTCCTGCACAACACACACTCGAAGACGTCCGCACACAAGCATACCATAACCTACCTGCTCACACCTCAGACAAATATCACCATTTTCCAAGCCAGCAGTGAAAAAGGACGCGTCGCTGTGGGCAGCGGTCTGGAGGGCTGCACGCTCCTCACTGGAAGCCGCAGAGGCCAGAACGAAGGGACACACAATTTGTAAAGCGATGAAAGACAAGGATTCTCAGCCCCCAAGGTTAGGTGCAATAAATCTACCCTCCCTTCGGGAATGAAAATGGGATACAGACATTCTCAGACGGGGGAACGATATGAGAACTTGCTACCAGCAATCCGGCTCCAAGAGACTTGCTAAGAGGTCCTTCAGTGGGAGGACAGTAATACTAGGAGGAGGCCTGGAATAACAGACATGGACGAAAAGCAACCTAAACAGGTAGATCCGAAGGTAAGTGAACAAACCTTGCTCGTCAGGCTGTAGTTCATCATGCACAGGCTCAAATACACAAAATGTGTTCGAACAAGCGTCTGTGAGCAGTAGATGGCTGTGGACACTCTGTAGGATCACCGGCACTGTCAGGGGCCGTCCAGTGAGTCCTCAGTGACAGAGACCCCGTGCGAAAGAAACGAAGCACCACCCAGTCCTGCAGCATCCTCACAACTGTTCTTCCGTCTGAGTCCATTGCTGCTGCCACGGTGTCCATCCATCTCGCCAAAGGTCTCCCTCTTTCCGCCGCCCGTCTACTTCACATGCCCCATGCATGACGCCCTGTGCCAGGGACTGCTCTCTTCTGATAACATGGCCAAAGCACGCGAGACAAAGTCTCATCTGCGTCATGTCTAAGGAGTCTCCGGCCGCACTTCCAAGACAGATTTATTTGTCTTCTGGCAGCAAGTACTTCGTGGTACTATCGATAATCTGCACCAACACAGTTCCGATGCACTGATTCTTCTTCAGCCTTCCTTAGCCCATAACCAGCTTTCCCAGGCACAGGAGGTCAGGCACGCCTCAGTCTTCTAAGCAACATCCTTGCTTCCCAACACTTTACAGAGGTCTTGGGCAGCTAACTCACCCAGTGCAATGTGTCGTTTGACCTCTTGACTGCTGCCTCCAAGGTTTGACCTTCATCAGCAAGTGCTTCAAGTGCTCCTTGCTCTCAGGAAGCAGCCAAGGTTGGGTCATCTGCATTTTGCAGGTCATTAATAAGCCTTCCTCCAATCCTGCTGCCGCATCCTTCTTCATCCAAGCCAGCTTCTCTGCTGATTTGCTCAGCATACAGATTGAGTGAGTATGGTAAGAGGCTATAATCCTGATTCATACCTTTCCCTCCGTCATGCCCGTCCCCTGGCAAGTGCAATGCATCTGTCTTCCCTGCTCAGGTGGGTTTCAGCCGCTCTACTAACCCGACCACCACCTGGCAGCTGTGCCACAATTCTGCCAACTGGGACCCAGAGGGTGAAAGAAGGCCCCAGGAGAGTTGGGGAGTTATAGCGATCCCTGCCCCCTGAGAACCGATCAACACACAAAACATTGGGCCCTCCTGCTCAGGGTGGGGGACATCCATTGGCCAGAACGATCACTGAGGGCATTTAAAACTGTATGCTCTAGGGGAGGAAGTTAGCCCCACATGGTCACAATGAAGGGGTCATCTCATTGAGCCACCGTCGAGAAAGAACCCGAAATAGCCTGAAGATGGAAGAGTGTTTCGATCGAGCCTGGGGGGGTGCTGGCAGTTTCATCCCCCTGGTTATGCGTTTCTGTATTTCCTAAGTTCTCTGTAGTTAATCAGAAGGGAAACATTATTTCAAATATGTGGTCACAGAGCATCAACACTCGCCTTCGCTGGGGGCTGGCTGGCATCATGTGGATTCCAGCGCACTAGACATGGAGGAAAGGAGGAGCCACGAGAGGCGTGACCAGAGCACAGCGTCCCCTGCTGGGAGAGCCCTTGGTGGGAAAATGTCATGAAGAGATCACTGGAGTGTGCAAGAGTCTTTTGAAGTCCCCTTACAGTAAAGGTGGAGAAGGGACACTTGAAGGTCCCAGGTGGGACACGGGGATGTGGCAAAGAGGGGACTGCTAGTATCCTGACAAACCACTTAAGCCCAACGCCAAGAGTGCTATGAGGCTGGGGGAGGCAAAGTGAACCTGGGCTGGGGCATGTGTGTGTCCATCCTCATCACGGACTATACAAAGCCAGTGACCCGCCAGTCAACCTGCACCGATGTCAGAACAGGGCTGTGCTCCAGAGGGTTTGCAAGGGCCTATGGGCAGCGGGGAGGGGTGGGGGGGGGTGGGGTGTGTGTGTGTGTGTGTGTGTGTGTGTTGTAAACCACAAGACTTTCTTCCAAGGCACCTCTAGGCGGACTCAAACCTCCAACCTTTGGGTTAGGAGACGAGTGTGTTCACCTTGCAAACCATCAGGGACTCCATTGGATATGGCACAGCAGGTCAGATGAATGGGGGAGGGCCGAGTCAAGGAGGACTTTGGCCTTGTGTTCTTATACTAGGTACCCACTACGTGTATAGATATAATTCAAAGAAAGAAGGAAAGCGAGCAGGCACCTGGGGTTAGAGGTCAAAAAGCAGGTGAATTCTGAATGAGAGCTGCCTGGGCTCTGCTGCACACATGCTGTGCTGGGGAACCGGGAGGAGTTCCGTAACGATTCCGTCATGAGTCCCTTGCCAGCTCCCCAGGGATCACAACACCTGCATTTGCACAGCTGCGATGAGAAGTGAAAATCGAGCGAGCCCTGGCCCTGCATGCTCCTAGGAACTGCTGGGTGAGCATCTCTACATTCACACGGGAAGAAGGGACCACAGACGGCGAGAGTGGCCAGCGTGCAAACAAGCCCCCCCAGCGCCTGCCGCATACGTACTGCAGTTCTCCTCATCGCTGCCGTCTGGACAGTCCTCAAACCCGTTGCACCGGAAGCGGCCGATGATGCAGTGGATGCCGCTGGCACAGGGGAAGAAGGTCGGGCCACACCTGGATTTCGCCTTGGCTGCGGGAGGAAAAACAAGATGGACATCAGGAGACGGGGCTACAAGACCAGGGCGGAGGCTGCGGATGAGTCCTGTTGGGTTTGCTCTGAAAACTCTAGAGCAGCGGTTCTCAACCTGTGGGCCGCGACCCCTTTGGGTGGTTGAACGACCCTTTTGCAGGGGTCGCCCAATTCATAACTGTAGCAAAATGACAGTGATGAAATAGAAAATAATTTTATAGTTCGGGGGTCACCACCACATGAGGAACTGTATGAAAGGGTTGCAGCATCAGGAAGGTTGAGAACCACTGTTCTAGAGGTTTCTCACCACCACTCCACTCCCCCCACCCCAAATACCCAACTGGAAACTGACAGGCAGGCACCACTCTTGGTGGTGGCGGCGGGGAGCGGGTTAAATAATTCTGCTGTTTCAAAAGTTCCCAAGAGGTGAAGTTCGGCTCAGAACCACTCACCCACAGCCATCCGGTTGATTCTGACTCCCAGTGACCCTGTGACCCTACAGGACAGGGCAGAGGTGTCCCTGTGGGTTTCCGAGACCGTAACTCTGGATGAGAGTAGAAAGCCCTGTCTGTCTCCCACAGAGCAGCTGGTGGTTTCAACCTGAGGACCTTGCAATTAGTAGCCCAACACAGAGCCACTACGCTACCAGGGGCCCTTGCCCCGAGGAGCTCCATCAAAATATGCCGATCAGAGGCGTGAGCAGGTGCGTGCAGGGGAGGATTCAATGTGAACGGGGTTTGCTCAAGGTGCCAAAGAGCCCCGTAAAAGCCATGCCCTGACTGCCGGGTGCTGCTGCCACTGGCTGCCGTCCGATCGGGCTCTGGCCCATGGCCACCATACACAATGGAGCGAAATGCTGCCTGGGCCGTGTCCTCCCCATGATCGGTAGTGGGTTAAGCCATGATAACCTAGGGGGTTTTCTCTGGTTGCTTTTCGGAAGGGCGCCGTCAGGTCTTTCTTTCTAGTCTGTCTTCGTCTGGAAGCTCCGCCAAAACCCGCTCGCCATCAGAGAACATTCAGGCCTCTGTTCCTGGCGGATGCGTGGTCAGCGCATGAGGAGAGCTGGCTGGAAGTCAAACCTGATTCTCCCACAGCGAAGACAAGAATCCTGCCACTGAGCCACCAGTCACTGTCAAAGACCCCAAAGTAATTATTACTCCACTAGCACGTGCTCATTATAGTAGGCTGAATGCTTGGCGTGGACTATCTCATTTATACCACTCGGTATACATATTCATGGTGATCACTCGTGAGCTCTTTATCATCATCATCAGCACCATGAAGTTGGTAGACTATTTAAACGGATCCAGGAGTTAGTTTCTCTTCTCTCCCGATGGCCCACGTCAAACATGCTCGCTACAGAAGACCTCACCTCTCTGGCCTGACATGGGGTGATACGATGTGACTTCCAGGTGATGACGCTGTCAAGCAAAGGGGAGCAAGTGTGGGAACTAGGAAAATGCACATCAACGTGACAGACAAGGAGATATCTTATCACCCAAAATACTCACTGTTAGTGAGTCCATTCCAACTCACACCAACTCTCCAAGACAGCGTAGAACTGGCCCGTGGGTTTCTCTGAATCTTTATGGGAGCAGAAGGCCTCATCCTTCTCCCTCTGAGTGGTTGGTGGGTTTGAACGGGTGACCTTGGGGATAGCAGCCCAAGGTATAACCCACTACATCACCAGGGCTCCTAGATGATGCCCAGTGAATGACAGCACCTGAGAGCAATCCCACGTGCACTGCGGTACAAAGGCACTCCATAGGGATCTCCCTGGCCGACTCTTCAGGAGTGGATCGGCAGGCCTTTCTGTGGAGGCACCTTGGGGTGGAAGGGTCCCTGTTCTTATCCCCAATGTACAAATGTGCTCTGAGAGGCAACCTGACTTGTGCATGGCCGCACGCTGGAGAGGCTGGCTCAGGGATGTGGGTCTGGACACTCAGAAACCATACTTCTAACCAACCTGACCACACTGCCTCCCACCAAAGGCCGTCAGGACTCGCAGCAGAAGCCAGACTCCTGCTCCAGAGAAGCTCTTCTTTTGCTCTGGCTGGCCGCCCAGGCCTGATGTAGTACCTTGCTAACCAAATGTTCTTTGATGTGAAGGGTACCGGCTGCTCTAGCTAGTGATGACGTAGGATCGGGTCCATTGCAGCAACAGCCCAGGGAGCCAGCCCCACCCGGCACCCTGCTGGTCTCCCGTCTGAGAGCCAGGACCTCCAGCTCTCCAAGAGGGAAGGCCATTACTTGGGGACAAATAGGCAGTAAATTACCTCCATGTCCTCTCCATCTGAAACACATGAACTCTGGCAGCAGCCAATTCACAACCATTCAGGTGTTAAAGCCTGGGAGGTGCCCAGGTGTCAAGCACAAGAATGGCTTGTGTCAGCCTGGAATGCCTGCCATGTCATGGTGCTGATGGGCTTGTCACAAAACCAGACCCAGGAGAAAGACTCCAGCGTTCAACTCTGGGCTCTACCTTGATGATGTTGGGCAAGTTCCTAAACACAGCTGGACCTCAGATTCCTTACCAGTAAACTAAGGAAACATTCTCAGGGCTCTCATAAGGGTTCCGGGGGAGGTAAGCTATATGAAAGGATTAGTGGAGAGCGTGCTATACAGCTTACACTCAATGAATGGAAATCCTTTGACCCTACATCATCAGGAACACAAGGCTGACATATTTAAATTGATCTATGGACTGCAGAATTGCTTTCTCACTACCAAAGTTACCAACGCTCATGGTGGTTGAACCCTATGAGCTGATCAAATGCGGTTTTCAAAGGAAAGGGCTCTTCTCCATGAGAGCAAAGGGCACCTAAGAAAACACGCATGTAGGAGCAACAAAAGAAAATACACGTGTTGGCTGGTTTGTGCAGAAGGGGCACAGGATGACGGCACCTGTGGGGGAAGGCAGGGAAAGGGAGGAAGTAATGGAGAAATTAAAATGAGGTCACAGAGAGGAGGGTTCCTGGTGGTGAATGGGTTAAGTGATAGACTGCTAACCACAAGATCAGTGGTTCAAATCCATCAGCAGCTCCATGAGAGAAAGATGAGCAATAGCAAGCCGGTGTAGAGAGGAGCAGGGTGTGAAGGTCTACGTAGGCTTTCTCTATCTATATAACACCTTATGGGTTTGTTGGTGAACATTTGCACAGCAAATTAGGCTCCCACTGAACAAGTTCTGCCCATAGTGTTCGGGGACACTGGTCAGTGTTCACGATGGGTCAGCCTTCCTATTTCCTCCATGCTGGCGTCCATTCTGCTTCCATTAACTGGGAGTCCCCGTGCCCTGGCCCTTCGCCTCTCCTACTTTAGCCTTGACGTGGCTCATGTGGACACAGACAGAAGGGTATTTAAAGGAGCATTGCACACAGCGGTGATATTCCTTATTTTATGAGCCAGTCTGGTTTTGTGGCTGAAAGGTGACCTTGGGGAGTGGCTTCAGTTTCAAGATGAAAGGGTATTGGGGGTTCCTCTCATCTTTACCAGCCTACGGAGACCTTTCCTATAACTCCAGTTCTTAGTACTAAGATAATATTTCACCTACACTCAAGATCAATAATGTGGAGGGGGTTCAAAATAGACTATTAACAGTAGCAGATGAGCCCACGTGTTGAAAATGCACACCAACGCCGACAGAAGGAGGTGGGGAGGAGCTCAACCGGCTGACTGGAAAGCACTGTTTGACTGAATTCTATGAGCCTAGAAAAAGAAATCATGCAAATACCCTACTCTAGTTAGGCTCATTTCTCACAGGGAGGACCCTGGAGCTTCTGAAACCACCTGATGTTAGTACAAGGGCTGAGCAAATAAGTGTACATAAATCATGTGGCTAAGAAGCGACACGTTTCTACTTCTCGGAGAAAGAAGTTAAAAATAAAGGGAGTAGAAAAGCTACCATAAGCCCCGAGGTGTGGGATCAGAGCTGAAATCACTGGTCTGAACTCAGGCCTTTAATAAAATATATACACAGATAAAAGGGACACATATTGTGTGATCCTACTTATGCGACACATCTAAACCCAAACAAACCCTGCCGATTACAACCCACAGCGACGGTCTACGGGACAGACTAGAACTGTCTGCCCCTGTGGGTTTCCAAGACTGTGAATCTTGATGGAAGCTGCCAGCCTCATCTTTCTCCCAAAGAGCAGCGGGTGGGTTTGAACTGCCAACCATGGGGTTAGCAGTCCCACACTCACCTGACAGCACCACTGTGGAGCTGGGGATAGGGCTGGCGATACAAAATAAACCTTGAAGAACCGGTGATGACAGAAAGTTCAAAAGTGCTCAAAAGTGACCGGGGCATCACAAGACTCAAAGGTCTCCCTGAAGGTGCTCTCAAAGGCCAAAGCTGGGGCACCGGAGGTGCAATCGGAGTACAGCATCATCGGCGGTACCTGAGTCCACCCTGGTGCCAAACACTGGGGAAGACATGCAGACATTCAGCAGAAAGGAAAGCTCTTCCTTACAGAAACCGCAATCACTCAATGTGAAAAAGGTGGGAGAAACAGAAGACCACTATTAAGGAAAGAGTGGTGCCTGAGGGAGCACTGGTGAGTGCTGGGCTGCAATCACAATCTACAAGGTCAGCGGTTCGAAACCACCAGCTGCTCCATGAGCGAAAGATGAGGTTGTCTACTCCCGTAAACAATGACAGTCTAGAAACGCACAAGGGCAAGTCCACCCTGTCTGACAGGGTCGCTATGAGTCAGCATCGACTTCAGAGCGGCGAGCTTGGTTTGGGCTTATTCAGGAACACAACAGTCCTAACTGCTCCTAGCAGGCCAGGGCCGCTGGCGGATGCTAGCGCCGGAGGGTGGATGCTTCAGGAGGAGCGGGATATGCCCCGTCTCAGTCTCCCTCCCAGACACTGCTGTATCGCCCCGGCAGAAACGGAAGCTTCTCGGCAGAGACCTGGCAGAGACTACGAACAGGACACACTGCACCCAGGAGGTCAGGTAGGTAAAGATCATGGTGGCCACGTATGTCAA